ACCTATTGAAACAATGCAACGACCACTATACTTTGCTCATCTGAACGATCTGATGTTGCCTAGTATATACTGACATCTATTTCACCACCAGAAAATAGGTAACAAAATAATGATTAATGAAAGTTAGTGAATACAAAACCATCAAATAACTCCACTATAAATTAGAAAACCCACTTTGAGTCCAAGATACAGAGTTCAGAACAAACCACTTGAGTGTTTTTTCTACAGAGTCTTTACAACAAAAAGCATCCAGATCAGGGCAAACTAAAATTACGCTTCAGTAGATTATCTGATTTTTTCCAGTTTCTTTACTACTGAGCATTAAAAGACTGGTCATCAGATCCAAGACTACAGAAACTTACCGCACCAGGTCGAGGATTAGGAATTTCCCCATTGTATCGTACCCATTTTGTATGAGACTGTTCTACTGTAGCACTCTGCATATATTTTCCTTTTGAGAAAACCTCTTCTACAGTAGACAGATTGTATGCACACACCGCGGACAGCCCCACATTATTCCTAAAAGGTCAGGAAGAAAGAAAAAAAACCACATAGGAGTAGTTATTACTTGTACTAACCAGCTGAGATTAAGAGTACTTATCCAGGAAAAGGCTATCTCACACTTACAGTTGAGGGGTGAAGACTCCATATATCACCGGTTCCTTCAAAGTAGGAGACTTGAGAATAAAAACATCATTGATAATATTGAAAATTAAATTCTTATCAGGGATGGTACAAATCAATCTGGCCTTGAGAAAGGAAGTCCATTTTTTCTGCAAGGTCCTTAATCCTCCTTGGTCCCTCTTTTGATATTAAAAAAAAAAAAAGGTATTTGTAAGGAGAATTAACAGCATTTTTGCATTTAAGAACCACTGCTATACAGCATGAAATCACTGAGTCCTGTTATTTTCTAACATTTTATGTATAGCAATATCAACAAATCTTAATACAATCACAAACAGAAAAGTAAGGAAGCCACAGGAAAATTAGCTGATTCAACAAAAATAATGCAGAATGGTTTCCATCAACACAAAGAGAGAAGATGACATAAGACCCTTACTTCAGTAACACTTGAAAAATTGAGACGTACCCTTAGAAAAAACCCTGCTTATCAGAACACATAAAATAAGCATGGAACTATTATAATGTTCCTTCAGAGAAATAAGCAACATTGCATTTGTTCTGTGACATCTAAACTGTGATTTAAATTTTAATGTTGCAATGTGCATTTAAATTGCCTAACATTAATAATTTCATTGGAAGAAATGCAGCAATGGCTTAATCCTGCAAGGAGTTACCATCTTTATTAAGGGCTTGCAGTACCAAGGTTTAAAGAAGTAAAGATACATTGACTAGAAATGTTTTAAAATATTTGATATTCAAGCCATAGAATCATAGAATGGCCTGGGTTGAAAAGGACCTTAAAGATCATCTAGTTTCAACCCCCCTGCTGTGGGCAGGGTTGCCAACCACTAGAGCAGGCTGCCCAGGGCCCCATCCAGCCTGGTCTTGAATGCCTCCAGGGATGGGGCATCCACAGCTTCTCTGGGCAACCTGTTCCAGTGTCTCACCACCCTCTGAGTGAAAAATTTCCACCTAATATGCAACCTAAATCTCCCTTCTCGTAGTTTGAAACCATTCCCCCTCATCCTGTCACTATCAGCCCCCATAAACAGCCGCTCCCCCTCTATAAACTGTTGCTTCTCTTCAAAAAGCTTGAACATATTAATGTTTCCCAATGCTGTTATTCAAAGTATTAAAGGAAATCTGCAAAATTTAAGAAAATAAAGTATAAATGTTTACACACTTGCAACCTGCAATTGATTCAAACAAACAGCAGCAATAAAACTCCCATATTCCCCTTTTAAAGCGTGCACAAGCTGACAGTAGGCAGAGGGCCATAATAATGAGCCCCACGTAAACCTGCCTCCAGCTGCTTGTTTAATGGAAATCTCAAGGGCACTAACTTGTTATTGATGTTTTGACTTCCATGTTTAAATATAAAACAATAAAGTCAAAATAAAACATTTCAACCTCATCAAAATGAAACGGCTAAATAAATTTCCTGTTGGAAAAAAGAATCCTGAGGAAATGGATACATTCCACTGAAAAGGTTTTTGTTAAATCAACATTTTCCACTGGAAAATGCTTCTTTCATCAGGAAGATCTTTAACCAACACTCCCAAGTACGTACTTGAATCAGCCTAACTCATTGAGGTTTAAACACAGCAAGTGTGACAGAATCAGGCTGCTGGTGACCGTTTTCCTTGAGGCTCTGGCAGCCCTAACAGCATCATGGACAGCCCACCTGCGAGACCACAGTCAAGAGCTATTCTGCTGCAGATACAACTGCAGTTTTGTTTGTGCACAGCTCCTTGAAAGTAACTTGACAAACGTCCTAGCCATTCAGCTCCAACTGAAGTCAGTTCTTACCCAGGAGCTGTACTTAAGAGCTGTTTAAAAAAAAAAAAATGAAAAGCAAAGCCAGAGGAGAAACCTTCTGTTGCTGGGTTTTGTGGTGGTTGGTTTTTCCCCCAGGGGTGGGTAGAACCCCCAAGATGTACTGAAGTTTCACCATTGTGCTAAACTGAATCAAGTATTTGTTCTCAAAGCAACAGTTAGGCTTCCTCAGTTTTGAAGAACTGTTTGAAATTGCTGATTCAGTCAGCCACTTCCATTTAATCGGCAATAAATTCACAATAATAAATGGGTTTTAACACACACACGCACACACACACACACAAAATTCTAGGTGAATTAGTAAAAGCAAATGGAACTATGTCCCACCTTGCACACTCTAGCTATTCTTGGAATCATCAATTTTCCAACAAATTCATACTCCACAGACACCTCGGTGAAAAAGAAGTAGATTTTGTCATCATCTCCATCTGTGCTGTTTTGATCTTCTCTTATCACATCAGCAAAAACAAAATTGGGCTCTACAAATACAAAGAGAAGAATTTTGTATTATATATGAGACTACTAACTTGACTCCCTCGAAGACCCTCTAGGAGTCCTCTTTCGCCCAAACCTCACACTTCTTTTACCTGCTCTCCAGTCACTGACCTGACTATACAGTTTGCTGTTCATAACATGAATCTAATTTCCAAAAAAGTAGAAATAGAGAAAAAAAAAAAACCACAAACCCCATGTGCAAGCACTAAAATGCCTGAAAGATCTCCGTTTTCTGATATCTCGTTACTTCAACATTATTCAGTCCACACTCACGCGTGGTTTTCTAATGGGCCTGGAGGGGTACCCTCCCTTGCCTGCCTCTCCTCTATTTCAGCTATTATCTGAAACACTAAAAATGACAGTATCATTACACCATGCTTTACAAAACTCAGTATCCTGTACTTTTTGGACATAACAATCTTTTGGAATATGCTAACTTCGTGATTTTGGTCGTTTTGGGCAAAAAGCCACAAACCTCTGGGCATTCACAAAACTTGGTGAATCTTGAAATTTAGGAACTGAAATCATCAAGAATCATGATCAGCTCAATCTGAAAACCCACTAGAGTCAAACCATTCTTGTCCTTACTATATCATAACTATGCTGCATTATTGCAAAGATGAACAAGTAGATATAAAACAAACTGTAGCCCTTTAACATCAAGTTGAAGCTTCTGTGTCTTTCAGTTGTTTTCATTGTCAATGCTGATAAAAATTACGACATTTAAAAATAAAATCTCTTGATGGTATATGAGGGACATACTCACATGTCAGTGTATGTTAGTGTTAAAAAAATCCATTCTCTTTGAAATATTAGACAATTGTCCCTTACCCCATGTACAACACAACTCTTTGTGTGACATTGAAAAAGGAAAAGCAATTTTGTCAGGCCAGTTCTCGTGCCTACTTACCATTAAGCCAAGGTATAGCATACTCTGTTCTCAGAGGGCTCTGATGAGAGTGCCGTGAAATGATAGGTTCACTTCCCAAGAAGTTATAAGAAGTCCCAGAATAAAGCTCCTCATCTTTAACACAAAAACAAAAATTTTAAACTTTCTTATGCACTGGATAACAGAAAGGGTTTATAAATATTTCAGGAGACCATGTAAGCTTAAACTTCCCACAAGAAAAGATAAACAAGGATTTCCTTTAAATTGCCCCAGACATGTTTTGTGTGTTTACGTTTCTGCTGACCATTCTCAAGGCTAGCACTTCCACACTTGGCTTTATTATTGCTCTAACACAAGCAACTGGCAAAAGTACTTTAAGGTCTACCGCGATACACAGCAAGATGTAAAAATATGGATCCAATCTACCATTTGCTATTGAGAGATTGAAGAATGGCAATCGAGCATTTTTTAACATAATAATGAGGTATGCAAAGTCTGAACTTACCAACCATAACAGATGTGTAGCTTTGAGCAGGATCAAATGGACATCTGCCCTTACCATCTTCATTTTTACCTTCAAGTTCAAATGAAATTAAATTCTGCAAAAAATTAAGTTGAAAACCACAAAACAACTGTTAGCAATTTTCCTTTCACCCACCTGACTCATACAAAGTTAAGTGAGAATCAACACTAAATAATAGAATCTATCATCAACTTGAAGCATCAAAGGCATTTTTGTAAGATTATGAAAGGCATATGCATATTCAGACCATCTTGTCGAGTCCAGCAGACAAGAGAGGAAATGTGATCCTATGATTTGTGAAGGTGGAAGCAGAAAATAACATAAGATGAAAAGTTAAATCCAGACAGACCTCAAGGAAAAGCACCCAAAAAATCCAGACAGCAGAAAAGGCAGAAAAGTTAATTGATATATGGGAAGAGCTGTCAATTATTGAATTAGCCTGCACAAAAATGGCAAGTTTTAGAAATCAAGAGGGCTTTCTGAAGTAGACTTAGCAATTTTTGAGATTATGTTAAATTTGTGAGATGGGGCATAATCCAACTAAATTTTAAAACGCAACAGAGTACTTTGGCTGCTACTGCATAAATCCCTTAAAAACCAAAGGAATGAGGCTCAGCAAGACGACAGAGACCTGTAGCCTCAGTACTGGGGAAGTTGATCAGTCTGTGTAATGAAGACATTGGAAGCTAAAAGCAACTACTTCTGGCAATGTTCCACAGGCGATGGCAGGCAGACTTGCAGGCAGGGGAGACCAAAAAAAGAACAAACAATTACAAGTTTTCTCAATTTCAGAATTGTTAAGGGCTGCAGTAAGGAGAACAACACAAGTCAGCAGCGAGAAAAGGAAGTTTTGATTTTGTGCCAAGATTTCACTCTGAAGCATTCAGCAGTATGAAGCTGTGGCATAGCCAGGAGCAGAGACAAGACAAGCAGAGACAAGAATCTGAGAAATCTCAGGGAGATCTGGTAATGGATGGAAGTTTCAAAGAATGTAATTTCAGTTTTAGAAATTGTTTTTATGCTAACGTACAACACACAAAGAATTACGAAAGTGAAGAAAAAGTAAATCCACAGTTAAGCAAGATGAATCAGTAATTCAATAAGCACTTTGAAAAAGGAAGGTTTATTTCCATACTCTTATCATTACTGTGGGACAGTGTAATAAAAACTCCAAACATTATGATCAGCACTTAAATTGTAACAGTCTTTGGGAATGGAGATTAACTCATTGTTTAAATGAGCTGCTTTTAAATTGTGGTTGTTATTGGGTCAAAACGTATGTACAACCTTACCAGGTAATCACATGTTGGCTGAAAGGCATTAGTTCCACACACATAGAGAAAAGTATAGTTCAGTTGTTGCAAGACACGCACATAATTACGACACTCTGTCTGCAATAGAGGATGAGAAAAGGACCCATCTGATACACCACAGCTTCCACATTCCAACATAAATAACAATTAAAATTGTACTGTCAGCTCATCTGTCGCCGTTACTTATGCCACACCACACCAGTGAGGCTGGGTGATACAATCACCACTGGGACACTATCTTCCTACAATCTCCAGGAGTTCTAGTCCTGCAGCATCCGATTTCCTACAGCCAGTAGTGCACAGCTGCCTCAGTATACCTATCAGGGTAGCATGATCAAGTAACATGTGCTCAGCAGGGTGCATCTCAAGTTGCTCCATGAAAGCACAAGCTCCCAAAACACATCCAGTCCAATCCACAGGAATGACTAAACATGGAGTAAGTTTTAGATTTTATCATCCCTTGCAAAGCAAACAAAATTATCAGTCATTTTTAATAAAATCAAATGCTGGGGATGAATTATTGCAGTAACAAAACACAACAGTTGGTATAAATTACTTCAGTGAAAGTAATACCAGTTTATAATTTTAATGTAAAAACTTGTAGCATTAAGAGTACATTGGGGTGTGTTCAGATTTTCAAACATCCAAATAATATTCACCAGCAAGAAATAATAAACCAAGAATTAAAAAAAGTAAGACTAAGGATGCTGCAGTTTTTAAAGCTCAAGTTAATTAAGGAATTTAGGTGATTATTTGAAAACTTTCATTTCAAAGTTGGAGCCTTTCTTTTTCTAAATTCACTTTCCTCTTGAAGTGAAATGTAAACCTCTTTCTCAAAGCTCAATAGAAGCACATACCTGTTCTGATTTACCCTTAACTGCACACTTAGTCCTTTTATCTTCAGTGACCTTCCAGTGTAACTAAGTAAAAAAAAACACGCAACAAAAAGACACATTCAGAGCACTTTAAATCAATGCAAGGTCTAAAAATCTTGCAATAACACACCAAAAAAAGTCAATCCTAAGACTATTTGCAGCAAATGCAGGCCATTTTAAAAGTAGCTTTCTCAAAGTCATTCTTTCCTGGGTAGCTGACACTTCCAAACTCACGTGCCTTAACTGAGACTAAACCGCTATATTGCGTTTTGCTTTCATCCTGATGTTTCCCCTCAAATGGCTAATGAAGTTACCAGTACAGTATGCATTAGGGAAATGCAACTGTAATCCTTTTAAGTACTTCTGAACTTCATTCACACTTCAGTGAAAAACACTTGGGGGGGGCAGGGGTGAGGTCAAAGAAAACTTGCTGGACCAATTTACACTATATGGAGAGGTAAAACTTTGACAGTTACATGCACTCATAAAACAAGTTTTATATGCTGGTGAAATTGCCCACCACCACCCGTGAACATTTTGTTCAGATTAAAAAAAAAAAAAAACATATGAATGTCTTCCAAAACATCCTGGGTGGGATTCCATGCTGTGCCTCTAAGTGTAAACGGGATGAGAAGCAGGAGCCTGGGAAGGACAGGAAGCAACACAATGTCAGCAGACTTCTGCATAGGCTAATCTACTCTGAGAAGTCAGTGTCAGCACATCCAGAGTACTTCTCTGAGCAAGCTGCATCAGACCTGTCTGCACCACCACTTGCTGTGCAGACACACCTACTAGAGACACAAAACAGAAGCCGAAACCAAAAGGACAGCACCCTCATTTCATTTGAAGCATGTCTGCAGCCTGCTGCGGCAGCTCCAGCTTTGCTTCTGTTTCAGATTAGATTACCTCTGATTCAGATAATAAAAATATAAGAACCACTATTACAGATGATACCCAAACTCCCTCCAGTTCAGCATCCTGTCCCCAAAAAGAAAATACCTAAGGAGACCTCTAATCACTTGTTCACATGCAACTCTTCATTTCTTCCTCTCATCTGACAGCATTTTTTACTATATAGCATCTTCCAGAAGTAACACAGGAGTAGCCCACACAGTATTTTCTCTTTCAGACACCTACCACCTGAAGTGCAGTGCTGTATCAGGAAATGAAGTCAAATTTGCAGAATGATGTTTACATGGAGAATAATGTACTAAAATGCATACCTCGTGCTGCTTTTCAGCAATATTCGCTGCGTTTAATGCAAAGATCACTTCTCTGGCTCCTACATACAGAACATCTTTGTCTTCACTTAACAGCAAGGTTGAATAGTTTGACACTCCTGATTCATGAAAATGTATTAGCTGGACCTCTGTTGGAATGAAAGAAAAACAGCACCACATGAAGGAACACGATCACTTAGGGTCAAGTTTATGGGTCATTTTTCTAAGTTGTCTAACAGCTGTTGAATATCTTGAAAACAACAAAGGTTAGTTCAGACATTCCATGTAACAGATGAGAGAGCCCTCAGAAGCTTGGTTCAGCAAAATCATCAACATCAAAATCACTGGTCCCCACTTTCTTGTTCAATTTCAAATGCCAAAATATTTCCTCTTGTAGTGATCTCTGTAACTCACATTTGCCTTTTTTTTTCCTACCTGTTGATTTCCTTTTTTCTAACCTTCCATTTGACACATCCACTGCCAGGTCCTTGCTCACCTTTTCCCTTCCACATACCTACCTACCGTGGAAAAATCATGTCAGTCACTACATCCCCTGCAACCATCCCAACAAAAATGTCACAAAAAATTCTGCACCTTAAATGACAACAATGCAGCAGAAAGAGAACATAGAAGCTAGAAAGGAACCTGATTTTGAAAGGGAGACCAGAGATGAAACACACAACACTAAGAAATAACATGAGGAAAAAACAAGATGAAACGGAAGAAGATGACAGACAGAGGGAGAAACAGGGGAAAAAGCAGTAGAATGAGGAAGCATTAAGAGTGAAACAGAATGACTTGAAGAAAGATGACACAAAATGACTAATATACAAGAATATTTTTGTGCATGTACAACCATAATGGAAAAAAAAGACTGAAAGCCTGGGACACCATATTTTGTGCAAGAGGGTACCACAAGATTAATTAAGCATGGCTTTTTAAGATACAGACAGAAAACAATGTACTATGGCTCCCAATTCTAAATTGCACATTTTCAACTGTAATATTCCAGAAACAAACAGCAGCAAATAACTACTCTATAGTCCTTGCTCTAGAGTTCTCTTCATACCCAGGCTAAATTACTAAACCAAAAGCTAAAGGAGTCTCCATTCCCTATTACTTCTCTTTGTGCTACATTTGCTGACCACTAATTGTATTGGGAGGTTATGAATATTTGCTGCAACTTCAAATACAGGGAAAGTGGTGTTCTGTGAACAAAATTGTTATAACTCTAAGTACCATAACGCTGTCAAAAAAGGGACAAAGACTTATCATTTCTTCACCTGATGATTATAGTGCACAGGATGGCTTAGTGTCAAAATACATTTCAGTCTTTAAAAAGCACAAAAAAATATTATTATCTGAAGACTTGCATTTTTCTAATACGTTCAGACTCAAAAATAATTTGACTAAACCAAAATACACCTATCTGGTTTTTCTCATGAAGCAAGCTTCAGCCGCAAGGTCCTTCAGATGAGAAAGCCAAATTCAAAATTCCTCATTTAAAAAGCTATCTTTTCAGAACTGCTTGAAGGATCTGAAATAATTTAACCCAGCGCCTGAGTCATTTTCAAATATTCTGGTCCTATTTACTTCATAAGACGAGCAAAACCAGCAACACCTGACGAAACTCGCAGCAAGCAGGCGGGAAGAGCATTCAGTCTCAATAAGTTTCACGTCTCACAGAAGCCCCGAGGTGGTGGCAATGTCCCATATTACATTACTGAAGTTCTTACCTCTGTGTTCCCATGTGATCCTCACAACTGGGCCAAATGCTACTGCCACTTCTGGCAATAAACACCAAACTGCGTAAAAAGCACACAGAGCCATCTTCAGCATCCTTGCTCTTCAGGGCTCCTTGGATAACTGTGGCAGGCAGTGTTTCTTTGGCAGAAGAAATGCAAACCCCAGGAAGTATTAGAGACCAGGCATTTCAGACCCTGAGAGCAGTGCAACAAGGCAGGCTGAAACAACCGTACAAGTATGTGCTTTTCAGCAGATCACTTCTTCAAGGGAACGCACATTTTCCAGGATGCCGCATACAGAGACTGCCCACACTCTCCACAGGCTGCAGAGCTACTGAGAAGTGCGATTGAGTGCATTCTTCTGTTTCGCTGCAGAAATAAATGATGCTGTGGAGAGAGGAGGGGAGCAAGAAGTAGAAGAGAAAGCAGAGTACTGCCAAAAATAGCACGCTGTATGCACTGTATCTTGCAGTACTTCTACAGCTGTCTGCATAGCTTAGTTTGGATAAAGAGTACATTAATTGGTGAAAACATGAGTCCTAAAAACAAACCACACATAACATGTCAAATAGGCAATAACTGAAAGCAATCATTTCAATCCAGAATGCCAAGTATAAATATTTTGAACTGTCACTTATGTTCAATGCACAAAATTCCACTCTAGTTTACATATTTTCTTTCTTTTAATAGTGAGGCAAAGAAAATCCCATCTCTCTGATAAATGATAAACAGAGATAACAAAAATCACTACGGCTAAGTTCAGAGAGCAAAGGACATGAGAAGTGCAGCATTCATTTTAAGCATTGGTTATACAAACCCACCACACCTCCCATCCTAGGGATCTTGTGAACAGATGTGTCATTTTCAGCAAAGTCTTTCATGCTACTAATGCACTCAAGGTGTGCAGGGTTTCAAAGAAATACAGCTACAAAAATAAAGCGGTAATGTACTGCATACAAAAATAAAAGGATAAAATGCTTAAATACTACAGCTGCTAGACAGTCCTGTGAAAGCCCCTCGGTCTCTGAGCCACCCAATACTCTCAGACCCAGAAAGGGCTCTATCCTTGCCAATCAACAAAACCATTCACTGCTTTCTACACCATCTTCCACAAGTCTCCACTGCTCCAGTCTTCCTACAACCATTACCTAGGTCAAGACTCATGCAAGCAGTTTCAAGGAGAAACAAGTGTATCTATCAGTGACTAAGACTTCTGCGTATGGATACGTTTGGGGAGCTGTACACTTGAGGGGAGCAGGGAGAAAAGCACATCCTCCTTTGCAACATGGCACAGAAGGTGTGATAGCCTGAGACACTAGTGTGACACTACTGAGAGACATGCCACAATCAAAGATAACTGTGATACCTAGCGGTTATCTGTCATGAGGATACAAGAGGGTTGCAACATCCTTAGTGGCGTTCCAGAGAAAAGGGACACTTCAGGAGGACAGAAGTAAAACATTAAGGCAAAGCTGCAGCAAGAACATCTCCAAAGACAAGCGTGATGCCAACAGCCTCTTTGGGAGGGAGAGGTCCCAAGTTTAAGCAGGCAAAGGCAAGGGATCTCTGTGAAGGGCAGCCAGCAGATCTGCTATGAACACAGAAGTGACATGGCTGAGTAGAAGGTAGGCAAGTACACTAAAAGCTTCTACACCTGCTTTACTAAATGATCATAGGCAAGGTTAAAAAATTAAAAGATCTCTTATTCCTACATAGCTTTTGTCTACTAAGAGAAACCCCACACAAAACCACAACTTGTTCAAGCTGAACTTGTGACTTATATTTTTTTATATTGTTTTAGTTTTGGTAAGCACTTTGGATCAGATCCAACTGTTTGTAATGCATCATATAAATCATTTCGGTTTTTAAGGCATCATATTTTCAGTTACGCTTCCTAGGCTTGTCTGTCTTGCACCCTTCTTGTTTATCATCCTACATAAGTAATTCCACCTTTTGCTCTCCAACAAGTTAAGAAGTGCACATTCAGAGTTGTGAAGTATCACACAAACATATTCTAACAGCTTTACAGTAATTATTCAGAGAGTGAACAGTAGTTCAATGATTAAGTTCAAGGCAGTTTAGCAATTTTATCAGAAATGTAAGAGGGAAACCAGCAGTTTGAAGAAAGATCTTTGAGCCATTATTTCTACACACTGTTAATTCTTTTTTTCTGTACCACCTTTTGTTACTGAAAAGACTCTGCGTAATAACCAATTTCTGTTAACTCTTAGTGTATTTTAAAAAGAAACAGCCAGAACATGATTATTCAGTACCAGTCCAAATGATAAACAGTCATTTATGTACAGTACCATATGGTAGAGATTTCTCCAGAGAAGACTTATGAAGTCCTGTAAATTTTCTGGACTTTAAAAAAGGATTAGCAAACCTATGCTGTTGTAAAGGAAAATCCCGAGTCTCCCTACAGCCACAGTTACACTCCTATCCTAGCTCACCTATCTTTGAAAATGTAAAATGACAACAAAATCTGAAACTAACTGCACTATCTTCTGAAGAAAACAAAAGGTCTGGTTGCATCAGTTAGTGCCTGCTTTGCTGTATGGCCGGAGAATTGCTCTGGCCACACAAAGCAGAAATCTGTCATTTCATTTCCACTGTATAGGCTTGCAAGACAGTCCCTTTTTCACGTTAATAAGTTTGACTTGTGGGACATTATTTGTCGATCTAAGGTAAAATTCTGCATGTTAAAAAAGCAGGTGAGGCAGACTACAGTGAACATTACGTGCCCCGTCATGCAAGATCCACTTTGTTGTCATTTCTATTAGTTTAAATAGAGATGAAAATGCACTCAGGACCTTGTCCTTTAATTTAGCCTTCAATTTAATTACTCTCTCACCCTGCTCCCTTACCTGTGTTGAAAATTATCTGGAATAACTCCTTCACTGACATCCACTGGGAATTCATCCATAATCTAACATGAACCTGTCTTTATATAACACAGGGGGTAGAAGGAGGGGAAAAAAAGGTCCAGACAACGGCCTACTTTCCAAATTAGCTCAGCTCTGTCAATGTTCACTGGCTTTGATTAGATTTGAGTGCTTTGCATTTCTGAAAAGTTAGGTCTCCTAATGCTTTAGGTTTAACTCCCAAAAATGAGCCACAATTTGCTTGGAAACAAGAACATTTAATAAGCAAAGCAAAAAGAAATCTGAAACGCTCAGTTGCAGAATTAAACTCTAATTAAAAGTGACCACAGGTCTACTTTTCTTTAAAACTTCTGTAAATTTTTCTGAGGTAAAAATTAAACCAGTAATTTTAATATAGGTGTTCTGCTGATGAGTGCAACGACAAACTAGAGCAAAATAACATGAGTTTTCCATAATGCTTGTAATTATGGTGATTAAAAACAGGGCAACTATAGAAGAAAAAAATCAGAGATGTCAGTTTGTCAGAGAACAGCTGGAAATTCAGAGTTGTGAATACTCATATAGACATGCATAATTTCAGTGCACAGGCAGAGAACCAGGAAGAGACAAGTTTCTGTTCCCTTAAAGGAAAGAAAACCAAAACGGTTAGAAAGAAAAGTTTCAGGCTGCCTAAGTGCGAATAGGGAAAACTAGCACAAACTACATAAGCAGGGAGTTGCAATGGCGTATCTTGACTGTTACCAAGATCAAAAAACACCTGGCTCTCACATCACCTATGTCAGTTGTCATCAAAGAAACAGTGCTCCAGTCCACCTTCTAGAAAAATGCAAAATGCTAGCCCTGCAATGGGAGAAGCTGAAAAACCAACAATGGCAAGAAGACTGCCAGCCTTCCCATCCTCCACAACATAGACACAAAGTAAGTACAAAAAGGTGTTTGTGAACATGAAACTTCCATCCTTCACAGATGTCAATTCAGCAACCCCTATCAGTACCAAATTAATTTTTTTATAAGTAATAAAAGACAACATCAAAAAAACAGAGGTCAGTGTCTTCTTTCCCGGTCAGCATGGCAAAGCTGGATTAAAGTGTGCATCTTGTACATGCAATACTTGGACAAGCTGTCTAATTCTGGAATATGATAGTTAGGAAATGCCCAATTTTGCAACCGCGGTTTTGAAATCTTTTTTCTTCTAATAGATACATAGTTTCATTGTGCAACTTCTGAATTCTGCTCAGTATTGCACAAATTGCTTAATTGATCTATCTTTATCTTCTCTATAAAGGGTAAAACCGTATGAGAACTTACCGACACACCCACAGCAGTCAGCATTATAGCTGGGATACTGCTGATTCCCAAGAAACAATCTTGAGTATCACAGAGTATCCAGTCTCTCCCTGCAGAAAGCCAAGTAAGCACTGGTCCTACTGGCCTAATTATAGAATCATCATAGAACCACAGAATGGCCTGGGTTGAAAAGGACCTTAAAGATAATCTACTTTCAATCCCCCTACTGTGGGCAGGGTTGCCAACCACTAGAGCAGGCTGCCCAGCGCCCCATCCAGCCTGGTCTTGAATGCCTCCAGGGATGGGGCACCCACAGCTTCTCTGGGCAACCTGTTCCAGTGCCTCACCACCCTCACAGTGAAAAATTTCCTCCTAATATCCAATCTAAATCTCCCCTCTCCTAGTTTAAAACCATTCCCCCTCGTCCTGTCACTATCAACCCCTGAAAACAGTCACCTCCCCCCTCCTGTTTACAGGCTCCCTTCAAGTACTGGAAGGACGCAATGAGGTCCTGTCACTCTTTTCACTACTAGCCAGGCCCATGAAGTGTCCACATTGTCTTCCTCCCATTTTACTACTTAACCTCCCTGAGGTTATATTTTCTTGCAACTCCCCATCTTCCCTGTGCTTAGGCTCCCATCCGTGCTGCCGCTGCCTCCTCCTCCTCCCCAACACAAGCAGCACCCAAATACATCACCACAGGTGATGCAAGCCCCAGTGAGTCTGCCAGACAAAAGACCACCTTCCCTTGGGCTAGAAATGAGATCTTCTAACATATATACTTCCCTACCCCTCCATGAAATCACTTTCACACCACTTGCTGTCCAGAAACAGCAAACAAGGGCCTCACAGCAAGCAACAACTGGCTGCAGGGGACCCTTTCTTCACACTGCCAGGAGAAAAAAATTCATTA